CTATGTTTTCGAAAGTAAGTTTCTTGATCACACCAGTCACCTCTTGCCAGAAAGGCGTACTTTTTGGGCATTACCAGAGGATGTGTAGCATGGATCCCCTATCATCCCCACATCTCCAGAAATCACTCGGGATTTGAGGGCATATGCTGTGGAGTGTTGTTGGAACCCTGTACCACCTTGTAAGGATTTTATATTTGGTTTCATGGATTTTAGTGACAATTGAGGATTTTGTATTGAGGATGAAGGATATGCTTTCATTGATTAGATATGAAACAGGTTCCAAGATCAGCTTCCCAATGGGAGAGAAACGGAGGAACATAATCAGGGTCAGGCCCGGCGAGGGAGGTGTACATGGTGTAAAGGCAATGGCGAACTGGGTCTCCATTTCAACAGATGTTCTTGAGCTTGGTGAAAGGACGGGCAATGCCCGATTGCTTGGAAAATTGAAACTGAAAATGGTGAAGTTGCAAGCCTGTCACCTCCTCATCCCTGGAGGATGTCCCCTTTAGAGCCATCATCCCTCCCCTGCACACAGCAGAAGTGAACTGAGATCCTGGCACCGGACAAGGTCATTCACTGATCGCCTCCTGCTGCAGCTGAAGTCAGCCAAAAGTAATGGAGGAAGAGGGGAACTGTCCGCTATGGGGGACCATAGCAGAGATGAAGGAGTTCAGGCATAGGGTGGAGAGGCAGCTGAAGGATGTGCTGCGCCCTTCTCCCGGTCCGTCACCAACCTGCAGAGCAAGAACAAGAGGTTGCAGGGGCAGGTGGATAAAGTCAGCTGCCAGGCGGAACCATAGAATTACTGACCCAGGAATGAACATGGATGGACAAACCACGTACTCCAGCCATACACTGCTCACTATATCTGGCAAGGAAGCTCAGATCAGTTCAATGAGGGGGATCAGTTCAATAAGGGGGAAACACACATCACAGGGGGTATAGAGGTAAAGAAAGTATATTTTAGAGGTATAGAAGTTTTTTTTTTGGGGGGGGGGGTTGCAAGTAGTTGATCATGCCTAGGTAGAAAAATAATCTAGCACCAGAGTTAAGAAAACCAGAACCAGATAGACACATTGAGAATATTCCACTCCTCAAATAGATATCACACCAATTGTATTTGTGCACCCATCATCTCATTTAACAATCCAATCTCCCCTCACTCTCCAGTGCCTCTGTAGGTATCACCTCTAATTCAGATCATGCATCCACTTCTTGCACCTTAAAACTCGGCATACATTTTCAGACCCAATACTTTTGGAAACACAACAAATCTTTAATCACTGACCCCTAGCTAGCAGAGGTAGTTCAGAAGGAACAAGATCAAATATTTCTTACCATGATCATAACTCTGCAGGAAACACACAAGTGGTACATCTGAGGAATATTAATCCAATTAGGCTTCCAACACAAAGCAGCCCTAACACACTCCCTACTAGATAGGATCATACAACTTGTGAACACATAAGCAAAAGAACTACATAGCTGAGGCACTGAAGATGCCAAGAGAGAAACCTAAGCACAACCTTATGATCAAGGTTAAAGCGCAATTGACCAGATGCAAGAAAACTATGAACACTGCAGTAACCTTGGAAGACGTTTCAAAAATACTACCACAGGTTATCCCCATTCACTTAGAAGCCTTTAGAGCCTACCTGACAAACTCTAATCTACCCATCCTGTCACCATGTCAGGAGCAGGATCTGGACCCACAACCTCTGCTGTGCTTGGCGGTAGCTCTTCTCCCTGATCCACCGGGGATACTGGACAGATCTCTGTCTGAAACATTGGACGATTGTACCTTGTACCTTGTTTCTGGTGAACCTTGACCTCCTTGCTCCTCCCATGAACTTCCTATTTAAGCCATGCCTTTGCACTTACTGTTTGCCAGATTTTTGTGTTCTTCATCAGCCAATATCTTGCATTTGATCACAAAGCGCAGGCATTCGTTACCAACCTTTGGCCTGTTCCTTGACTACGCTTCCACTTGATCCCAAACTGCAACCACTTATTACAGACCTTTAACTTGTTTACTGACTACGCTTCTGTTTGAGCTCTACCTGCTATATCTGCTATTGGACCCTGGCTTGCTCACCTCCTAGTGGGGTGATCTTGAGGACTGCGACCTGCTACTAACATGCAGCAAAACTAAACTCCACCATCAAGAGCTCTGGAGAATACCGGTTATTACTTAGACCCTACACCTCGGGTGAGCCCACGTTATCTGCCAGGGTGATTTGCTTGTGTACTTGCTGGCCGATGGGAGCCTCTCTAATTCTATAGCTACTGGTCTTTGAGCCTGACCCCAGACCGTGACACACCAGTCTGGAAGATGTGATCTCTGCGGATTAGCTTGGCAAAGACCCAGATACCAAAACGGTTCACGTTATCTTACTATAAACATTTCACAACATTCTCATCCACAGGTTCATTAAAACATTCAATGTCGTGTTTTTACAGAAGTAGGGACACCATGCAATGGCCCAAACAGAATCTGAATCAGCTGTACCTGACTACCAATCAGCTTCTTTATTTTCAAAGCTTAAATGAATAGATTGAAAATAGAAGCTGCTTTCCATCTGCCTTGTTGGATACCTGCAAGAGGGACTTCAGTAAGTACTCCTAATACAGATTTACTGCCTGCTGTTGCTTGATGAGTATCAGGTGGTAACAGGGTCTCTTTAAACAGTCCCTTATAATCCATCTTTCTTCCCAATATAGCTGAAAGATGGCTACAGCATGGCTCTTCAGATCTGGGAGGACATACATGGACATCCTCCGATGTATGTGCTTTGGGCTCAGCTGATCACGGATCGTGATAAAGGGCCAATCACAATGGGTCACATGAAAAAATCTTGCCGGTTATCAGTATTTCTTTCTTCTGTCTCTGTGTGAGGAAAGGAGAGCCAATAACCAGCAAGTCTGACAGGGCACAGTGAGTACATTGTGTACACTGAAAATCAGGGCACTGAAAATCATTGCCCTTATTATCAGTCGAGCCCCATCAGTGCAGCTTATTTATGCTCATCAGTGCAGATTATCAGTCCTCATTAGTGCTGCCTGTCAGTCCCACCTCATCAGTGCCCATCAGTGCAGCCTCATCAGTTCCCATCAGTGCAGCCTCATCAGTGCCTGTTAGTGCAGCCTTATCAGTGCCCATCAATGTAACCTCATCAGTGCACATCAGTACAGCCTCATCAGTGCCCATCAATGCAGCCTCATCAGTGCTGATCATTGCAGCCTCATCAGTGCCCATCAGTGCAGCCTCACCAGTGCCCATTAATGTAGCTTCATCAGTGCCCATCAATGCTGCCTCATCAGTGCAGCCTCATCAGTGCCCATCAATGGAACCTCATCAGTGCAGCCTCATCAGTGCCCATCAATGCAGCCTCATCAGTGCTCATCAGTGCCCATCAATGCAGCCTCATCAGTGCCCATCAATGCAGCCTCATCAGTGCCCATCAATGCAGCCTCATCAGCGCCCATCAATGCAGCCTCATCAGCACACATCAGTGAAGAAGAAAAATTGCCTAAAGTGGTTGTAAAGGCTCAAGGTTTTTTACCTTCATACATTCTATACATGAAGGTAAAAAACCTTCTGTGTACAGTATCCCCCCCAGCCCCCCTTAATACCTAAGCCAACCTCTCAATCCAGCAATGTGCACTGGAGTCTTGACTATCTCAGGACTCCCTCTCCTCATTGGCCGAGACAGCCGAGACAGCAGCGGGAGCCATTTGCTCCCACAGCCAGTGAGCCAATGAGATGAGAGAGGGGGCAGGGCCAAGCTGTGGCTCTGTTTGTGAATGAACACATGGAGCAGCGCCTGGGGGAGTGCACCTGCTCAGGTGCCCCCATAGCAAGCTGCTTGCTGTGGGGGTACCCGACAAGAGGGATGAGCCAGGAATGCCGGCAGAGGACCAGAGAAAAGGAGGATCTGGGCTGCTCTGTGCAAAACCAGTGCACAGAGCAGGTAAGTATAGATATGTTTATTATAAAAAAAAAAAAATGAGCCTTTAGAATCACTTTAATTGCAAAATGTTATATCAGAAACTAAGAACAAAAAACTTTTTCCAAGACTTTTGGTCTTATATTGTTTGTTTAAAAAATTAAAACCCCAGTAGTGAATAAATACCGCCAAAAGAAAGATCTATCTGTCTCAAAAAATGATCAAGATTTCATTTGAGTACAGTGTTGCATGAGCGCTCAATTGTCAAAGTGTGAGAACTGGCCTGGGCAGGAAGTGGTAAGGGTGGGAAAGGTGTAAGTGTCTGGTATTGTAGTGGTTAAAATTATCTATCGATCAACTTCAGCTATTCCCTTTTATCTTTGCTATTTTATCTGCATTTCTCTATCAGCATTTTATAGACAATTTACTGTGAGAATGTCTCAAGCATTAACCAAGCTCATAATTTGTGTAATATGTTTACTTTCTATCATCGTCAGCTCCATCTAGTGGCCATAATGCGTTATTTTCCTGAAATACTCCCATCAGGAAAATACTGCATCCATCTAGTGGCCATAACGCAGTATTTTCCTGGAACTAGATGGAGATAGATGATGGTCATAGAAAGCAAACATATTCCACAGATTACAGGAATTATTCTTGGCAGCTGTAGAAATGCTCGAGAGATTCACAAAGCAATTCCTTAAATATATATACATAGATCTCTTAGATTACAAGCTCTTATGGGCAAGATTCTTTGCCCAATTTTTTTCTGGAGTTTGTCATTCGCATCCTTTATTATTTAATGTAAATAACAGAGAATGTGAAAGCACACAAATATTACTAAGCAGCGTTTGCAGATTTCTTCATACATGTCTCATAATAAAACATGTGCTTCATTTAATTCACTAAAAAAAAAGTCTTCTACAATTTGAGGAGTGAAGTTTTCTGACTGCATTAGAAGCAATTTGCATGTCATTGAACAGTGAAGAGGATAAGGGCCTTTAAATTAGTCAGCCTTTACCTTCACTCGTGGCTGTCATTAGCACAGCAGTCTCTCTTTGTCAGGTGTGCCGGCACTGGAATAAAAGCAATGCACTCAGCTTTACTGCAGAGGTTACATCATCGCATATGGCGGAGAGTAGAACTGGTTCTCATGCAGTATACTTAAGGTGTTACTAAACCCCGGACCCTGCATTCACTATATCCACTCACCCCGGACCCTGCATTCACTATATCTGGTCTCCCCGGACCCTGCATTCACTATATCTGGTCTCCCCGGACCCTGCATTCACTATATCTGGTCTCCCCGGACCCTGCATTCACTATATCCGCTCTCCCCGGACCCTGCATTCACTATATCTGGTCTCCTTGGACCCTGCATTCACTATATCTGGTCCCCGGACACCGGTCCCAGCATTCATTATATCTGGTCCCACCGGATCCTGCATCCACCATATCTGGTCTCCAGGACCCTGCATCCACCATATCTGGTCTCACCGGACCCTGCATTCACTATATCTGGTCCCACCGGACCCTGCATTCATTATATCTGGTCCCACCGGACCCTGCATTCATTATATCTGGTCCCATCGGTCCCTGCATCCACTATATCTGGTCTCCCCGGACCCTGCATCCACCATATCTGGTCTCCCGGACCCTGCATCCACCATATCTGGTCTCCCGGACACTGCATTCACTATATCTGGTCTCCCTGGACCCTGCATTCACTATATCTGGTCTCCCCGGTCCCTGCATTCACTATATCTGGTCTCCCCGGACCCTGTATTCACTATATCTGGTCTCCCAGAACCCTGCATTCACTATATCTGGTCTCCCAGACCCTGCATTCACTATATCTGGTCTCCCCGACCCCTGCATTTACTATATCTGGTCTCCCAGAACCCTGCATTTACTATATCTGGTCTCACCGGACCCTGCATTCACTATATCTGCTCTCCCCGGACCCTGCATTCACTATATCCGGTCTCCCTGGACCCTGCATTCACTATATCTGGTCTCACCGGACCCTGCATTCACTATATCCGGTCTCCCCAGACCCTGCATTCACTATATCCGCTCTCCCCGGACCCTGCATTCACTATATCTGGTCTCCCCGGACCCTGCATTCACTATATCTGGTCTCCCCGGGCCCTGCATTCACTATATCTGGTCTCCCTGGACCCTGGCATTCACTATATCTGGTCTTCCCGGACCCTGCATTCACTATATCAGGTCTCCCCGGACCCTGCATATCAGGTCACTATATCAGGTCTCCCCGTCTCCCCGGACCCTGCATTTCACTATATCTGGTCTGACCAGACCCTGCATCTCACTATATCTGGTCCCACCGGATCCCACGGACCCTGCATTCACTATATCAGGTCTCCCCGGACCCTGCATTCACTATATCACCGGACCCTCTCCCCCACCGGACCCTGCATTCACTATATATCTGGTCTCCCCGGACCCCACATTCACTATATATCTGGTCTCCCGACCAGACCCCTGCATTCACTATATCTGGTCCCACCGGATCCTGCATCCACCATATTTGGTCTCCCTGGACCCTGCATTCACTATATCTGGTCTCCCCAGACCCTGCATTCACTATATCTGGTCCCACCGGACCCTGCATTCATTATATCTGGTCCCACCGGACCCTGCATTCATTATATCTGGTCCCACCGGACCCTGCATTCATTATATCTGGTCCCATCGGTCCCTGCATCCACTATATCTGGTCTCCCCGGACCCTGCATCCACCATATATATCTGGTCTCCCGGACCCTGCATCCACCATATCTGGTCTCCCGGACATTCTATTCTATTTCTTTCCTTTATTTTCTATTCTACGCTATTATTTTTCTATTCTATTATTTTATTTTTTTTTGTTTTAAGGGATAAGCAGAGCCGGAGGTTACTACTGAGTGGGGGATCAGCAGAGCTGGGGGTTACTACTGAGTGGGAGATCAGCAGAGCTGGGGGTTACTACTGAGTGGGGGATCAGCAGAGCTGGGGGTTACTACTGAGTGGGAGATCAGCAGAGCCGGGGTTACTACTGAGTGGGAGAGATCAGCAGAGCTGGGGGTTACTACTGAATGGGGGATCAGCAGAGCCGGGGGTTACTACTGAGTGGGAGATCAGCAGAGCTGGGGGTTACTACTGAGTGGGGGATCAGCAGAGCCGGGGGTTACTACTGAGTGGGAGATCAGCAGAGCCGGGGGTTACTACTGAGTGGGAGATCAGCAGAGCCGGGGGTTACTACTGAGTGGGGGATCTGCTGAACGAGTGTACTAATAAGCTGAGGATCTGCTGAACAAGGGTACCCATGCTGAACAGGGGCACTAAGGAGCTCTGGATCTGATAAGTGGGGGGTACTACTGTGCTAAGGTAATCTACTGGGCCTCTCTAAAAAAAACAGGGCTTTTTTTCAGTGGGGTGGGAATGCGAGGGAACGCAGTTCTGGCACCTCCAGCACTGAATATACTGTATGTAATGACAAGGGGTGCTGGGGGGTCTATTGATGCTGGCTGCTGGGGGAACTAGGCTGCTGGAGGAAATCTATTTTTGCAGAGGGGGGATCTATTGTTGCTGGGGAGGTCTATTGTTGCCGGTGCGAGATCTATTTTTTTGTCTAGGGGTGGGTCTTATGTTGCTGGGGATCAAGCATTGTTGGGAGGGATCTACTGATGGGAGGGGCCTATTGATGCTGGCTGTTGGGGGTCTATTGTTGCTGCGGTGGATCTGTTGTTACTGGGAGGTCCATTGTTGCTGGGGAGGTCTATTGTTGCTGGCTGCTGGGGATCTGTTATTGCTGAAGAAAATCTATGTTGACAAGAGAAGGAGGATGTATTGTTGCAGTGGAGTCAATTGTTGCTAGATACAGGGGATCTATTTTACTGCATTTATTGTCTTCGTTAAGAAATTCCATACAAATTACTTATCACCACAAAATGATACTTGGTTCTGTATTCTGTAAAGGGGCGGTACTGGGAGGTGGGTAGGAGGTGGAACCAAGAATAAGGTGCTTGGAGGTGGGTAGGGGGCGAAGACAAGGGGTGACTTGGATGGGGGGAGTTCCTGCACCTATTGTCTGAGAAAATAAGCCCTGAAAGCAAATTTAAAATCAACTAATCACAGGGCATCTGCCAAGATTCATTAAAGCTTCACAAATCACTGAAGCAACACCGAAGCATCAGAAACACATAAAAAAAGCATGTTGAAGCACGTGTTGAAGTAGAAGCAAGCGTAAATAAGCCCTTAGTGTCACTGGAGATGTCAGTGTCAGTCAGTTCCCACCGAACTATCGCCGTCCCATCACTAATATAAAAATAAATAAAAATTCCAGTATGTATATACAGTATATACACACATACAGTGGGGCAAAAAAGTATTTAGTCAGCCACCAATTGTGCAAGTTCTCCCACTTAAAAAGATGAGAGAGGCCTGTAATTGGCATCATAGGTAGACCTCAACTATGAGAGACAAAATGAGAAAAAAAATCCAGACAATCACATTGGCTGATTTGGAAAGAATTTATTTGCAAATTATGGTGGAAAATAAGTATTTGGTCACCTACAAACAAGCAAGATTTCTGGCTCTCACAGACCTGTACCTTCTTCTTTAAGAGGCTCCTCTGTCCTGCACTCATTACCTGTATCAATGGCACCTGTTTGAACTTGTTATCAGTATAAAAGACACCTGTCCACAACCTCAAACAGTCACACTCCAAACTCCACTATGGTGAAGACCAAAGAGATGTCGAAGGACACCAGAAACAAAATTGTAGACCTGCACCAAGCTGGGAAGACTGAATCTGCAATAGGCAAGCAGCTTGGTGTGAATAAATCAACTGTGGGAGCAATAATTAGAAAATGGAAAACATACAAGACCACTAATAATCTCCCTCGATCTGGGGCTCCACGCAAGATCTCATAATTGTCTGGATTTTTTTTTCATGTTGTCTCTGTTGTCATAGTTGAGGTCTACCTATGATGCCAATTACAGGCCTCTCTCATCTTTTTAAGTGGGAGAACTTGCACAATTGGTGACTGACTAAATACTTTTTTGCCCCACTGTATATATATATATATACAGGGTAAATATATATATACATATACAGTGTGTATATATATATATATATATATATATATATATATACACACACACACACAAAAACACCATCTTTTGTACAGTGGATGCTATAACTTTCATGCAAACCAATTTATTTTTTACCAAAGACATATAGCAGAGTACATTTTGGTCTGCATTTGGCCAGAAATATTATTTATTTATATGTTTTTGGATATGTTTTATAGCACAAGAAAAAAAAAAATATTTTTTTTTCAATGTTTGGAATTTCATTTATATAAACATTTTAAAGAAAAAAACCCAGTGGTATTTAAAATACCACTAATAGAAAGCTCTATTCATGAGAAAAATATGATATAAATTTAATTTGCTTATAGTGTTGCATGAACGCGCAATTGCCTGTTAAAGTAGCACAGTGCCAAATAGCAAAAAATGCCCGGGTCAAGGGGGTAAAATCTTCCAGAGCTTAGGTGGGTATTAGTGGCAGTGTTGGGGAGGAGCTGGGAGAAGACACCCAGGCTGCTAAGCCATGCAGCCATGGTGGTCCAGATAGGACTGTTGCTCGTTCTGGGTCCGGACCGTAGCCCACCATTTAGTGATAGCTGTTCAGGAATACAATTAAAAAAATGGATTTCTTTTTTTTATCCTCTTAATAGATAACCAATGGATTTTAGTTCAGGATCCGGAATGCTTTCTCAGTTTTTAATTTCATAGAAGTTTTTTTAATTATTCTGAAAATGAAACATGACAAATGGAAACCTTGACGGCCAGGTAAACAAGCAGCTAGTCTACTCCACAACCTGCGAATGGCCACTTGATAAATCCATCTCGTATACGGCATCAGACAACGGCAGGGCGCTGAGGCAGCAAGAGAATAAAAAAGTTCCTGTCCGTGGAAGGGGGAAAACTGCTTTGCTTGGAAAGTGGTATTTATACCTAATATGAAAAAAAAAAAAGTTGTCAAAAAAATAAAAGAGGGAAGCGACGGCAGAAACCATAATAACAGACAATAGCTGCGGCTTCAAATGATATCCTGAGTGCTCTATGTAATTTGTTTCCCGAACACACAGATACACATACACAAACATTACCTGTCTGGGAAAAAAGGAGCAATCATGCTCTTTGTATGTAGTGCATGCCAATGCCTGAGTCGCTGACAATTCAATTAGGAAATAAAATAGAAAAAAAATATATATTTAGGTGTATTAAACTGCAAGAAAAATGAGCTTCTATGATCCGGAAGGACCTTACTATTCAATTAAGCCAACAATAACAAAAAACTGAGATTTTTCATTGTCTTCCTGCTGGCGGCTTATTATTCATGGATGAAAGGAGAATTCTAGTATCTATTGTAGTAATGGATGATGCAAAGGGCCAGCGTGGTTGGAGGAAACTCACTGGTTTATTTACAGGTCTCTCCCCTGTCAGTGTTACTCGGCAATCACCGGGTGCCGTCATGGAATCTCCGTCCGGGACCTGGTGATTGACATCTGTACATACAGAGCGGCACAGGGGCATACAGGGTTCAAAATCGCGTATATTTACGTGATTTTGCAGTTCCAATTAGGGGGCATGCACGCCACCCTGCCTGCGCCGACGTTGGCGGCTACATCTGACTATTGCCAGGTCCCTGCCAGAGATTCCCTGCCTGCACCCATCTGTGTGAAACCCACACAGACAACACAGATTACTCACTGGCACCCGGTGATCGCCAAGTATCTCTGAAGAGGGAGAGACCTGTATGTAAACAATACAGATCTCTCCCCTGTCAGCTCCAGCACACTGCTTTGTATGGCTCTGCATAGCAGAGCCATATAAAGCAGTGTGCTTACAGTGAAGCACACACAAACCCCTATAGTGAAACAGCACACAGTTAACCCTTTGACCGCCCCACATGTTAACCCCTTCCTGCTCAGTGTCATTAGTACAGTGTCAGTGCTATTTATTATTATTATTATTATACAGGATTTATATAGCGCCAACAGTTTGCTCAGCGCTTTACAATATAACGGGAGACAATACAGCAACAATTCAGTTCAATACAAGAGGGTTAGGAGGGCCCTGCTCCTTGGAGCTTACAATCTAGGAGGGAGGGGCTAGTGGTACAAAAGGTAGTAACTGTGGGGGATGGACTGGTAGGAAGAGTAGAAGATTCCATTATTAGCTGAGGGCAGGATAGGTGATAGGAGAGGTTTTTAGAGATCGCCTAAAAGTGAGCAGAGTAGGCGATAGTCTTATAAATTGGGGTAGAGAGTTCCAGAGGATGGGGGATGCTCTGGAGAAGTCCTGGAGACGAGAAGGGGAGGAGGAGACAAGGGAGCTAGAGAGAAGGAGGTCGTGCGAGGATATTTGAAGACAAGATCGGTGATGTAATTTGGGGCAGAGCTATAAATGGCTTTATATGTTTTTGTTAATGTTTTGAATTTTATCCATTGGGCAATGGGAAGCCAGTGGAGGGATTGGCAGAGAGGGGTGGCAGATACAGAACGGTTAATAAGGTAGATGAGTCTGGCAGCAGCATTCATGATAGACTGCAGAGGGGATAGCCTGCGATGAGGTAGGCCAATGAGGAGGGAGTTATGATAGTCAAGGTGAAATATAACAAGGGAGTGAATGAGTTGCTTAGTGGTTTCCGAGGTTAGGAACGGGCGTATCTTGGAGATGTTATGGAGGTGAAGTCTACAAGATTTGGACAGCGATTGGATTTGGGGCTGAAAGGACAGATGGGAGTCTAGGATTACACCTAGTACCCTGGCATGAGGGGAGGGACTGATGATTGTGTTATTGATCTTGATGGAGAAGTCAGGGAGGGGGCATGGGATGGGGGGAATACTAAGAGCTCAGTTTTGGAAAGATTGAGTTTGAGGAAGTGGAGTGACATCCATGTCGACATGTCACTTAGTAGGTTAGTAATGCGAGAGGAGACTGAGGGGTGAGGTGAGGAGACTGCAGGCCGTCTCTCTCTCCTGGAAGAGAGAGACGGCCTGCAGCCCTTAGAAGCCATCGTCTGCAATGAGAGACACCGAAGAATCCTGAACACACATCCATGCCAAGAAGAGCCCACCATCGATGATCCCAGTCTCCAGAACCCTGGATTTCAGCCTGCCGGAGGGATCAGAGAGCCAGACCAGCTAGCCATGGGACTCTGGGATCTGGAGTACAAAGAGTGAAAAGCTCCACCATCACCACTCACTGAGATTTACAACTCTTGGTTGTCTGAGGACATCGCTGGAGGTGTGGCTTCTATACCAGCAAATCATGTGAAGCTATTTGCTTCTAGAGCCCATCTTGATCCAGCCACCCATCATTACCCAGAGAGGGGAGTTCCTTAAAGCAGACACCCACACCCATCTATCCCTTAAAGGGACCTCTGGCCAGCTTGATCCTGTATCTTCCTACGAACCCCTGACAGCACCACCATACCTAGAGGGAGGATCATTCTAGATTAGGACCTTATCCAACTCCTAAATGGGACCTCTACATACCCATATAATGCGTATATACATTACGCATCTGGTGAGTGCGTAATTTTACCACACTATTTGGAGCACCATTATTTGGATTCTACTGCTTTCTTGCACCCAGATCTGTATAGACTGACACCTTTTAATTTGGCATATTAATATATTTTTGGACACTAGTAATTTTTATATTTATGTCTCTAGCGCTGCACCTTTATTTTTATTATGTATGAAGCCTGCAGGCAGGGATTGCAGGCTTCATTCACACAGGAGCCCCAATCATCACTCCTAAAACCATCAGTCAAATCCCACCATTACCCCACGTAGAGCACAGCACAGCAATGGGTGTGATGGGGTTGTGGGATGGGGGAGGAGTGTGTGTTCAGTTTTTTATACAGTCCGTTTTAAGCAATTAAAGAGTTGGACAGCATTTATAAAATGTGTCAAACCTGGACAGGAGGAAACCCTATGACCAGCACAGTATGTAATGACAGAATCATGGCTCTATTGCTTTTAGACATGTGCAATTTTTTTTGTTATGAAGCAAAATTCGGATTTATTTCCAAATCACTATAGTAATACATTTCAATTAATCTGAAATAATTTATAACTAAATGAAATAATGTAATGAAATAATGAATTATCTGAATTCTAATTCAAACATGAATTTGAATTAGAAATGGAAACATATTGCAATAAAAAGTGATTAAATAGGTATAAAAGTGAAATAATGATGATTCCTGCTTAGGCTGCTTTCACTCAGTTTTTACTTAGGTGCATTGCGTTTTTTTCCCCTGGACAAAGCACTTTCCTTAGGTTTGTTGCATTCTTATATGTCTTTTTGCCACTGTTTCTATTCACTTCAATGGAGAGGTGAAATTTTGGTGTGCTTTTTTACCACACCAAACATGAATAAAAAATGCAGCAAGCAGGACTTTTAAAGGCCCTTTCATACTGATCAGTTTTTTTAAATCAGTTTTTCAGTAACAAAAGTAGGAAAAATGCATGAAAAATACATCCCTTTAAATCCCATGAAACCCTTCACACTGGTCCGTTGTGTTTCAGTTGCGTTTTTAAAAGTCCTGCTTCTTGCATTTTTGGTGCACATTTGGTGGGGTAAAAAGAAAAAAAAAAAAAAAAAGCACCCAAAAAATTCATGTATTGAAATTAATGGAAAATGTGGCAAAAAGGCATAAAAAATGCAGCATATCTGTGGGAAGTGATTTGTCCAGTCAGATGTCTATGGGAAACAGGTTAGATTAGAATAAAATAGAATATAAAATGAATATAAAAAAAAAAGGATAGAATAAAATTGAAAGAAATATAACAGAATGAAGTAGATTAGAACAGAATAGATTAGAATAAAAAAAAAACAGACTAGAATAGATTGCAATAGAACAGAATAGAATACAATAAATTATAGCTGTCTTCCAAAAAAAAAAAACGATTTGAAAATAACAATTAAATTAGAATATACCAAACGAATCCGAATACACAAATGAATCTGAAACGAAAGAAACATTTTCCATCATGCACATCTCTAATTGCTTTGCACAGGCATTCTTACAAGAAGAATGAATCAATGAATGTACTGTCGCTCCATTATTTATATCAGGGATTGGAGTGCGGCTGAGACCAGGCTGTATTGTTTAGCTTAGACTACAGAGCAGTTCAGGTCCTGGCTGGGTTGCCTGGCACCTAAGATAAATAGTTCCAGTTTGTGCAGTAAGGTACTAGAGAGTGCTGTAGGATCATAACAGCAAATCAGAAATCCCTTTTCAATGACCTAACCACGCATCTGTCTAGTGGTCTATTAATTTAAAAAAAAAATCACTTTAGCAATATCACAGGCATTTGTCCAACCGTCATGAATTTTCACAGTATTTTGTCTGTTTATTTCCTATAATTGTCAGCTCCATCTAGTGGCCATAATGCAGTATTTACCTCAAATGCCCTAATCAGGATGCTAACATACACTATATTATTATACAGTATTTATAAAGCGCCAATAGTTCACTCAGCGCTGTACATTACAAAGGGGGACAGAACATGTGACAGAACAATACCAATACAATGCAAAACTTGCCAAAAGTATTGGGCCAGCCCTCCAAATCATTGGGTTCAGGTGTTCCAATCCCCTGCATGGCCCAGGTGTATAAAATCAAGCCCCTAGGCATGCAGATTGCTTCTACAAACATTTGTGAAAGAATGGGTCACTCTCAGGAGCTCAGTGAATCCAAGCGTGGTCCCTTGATAGGTTGTCACCTGTGCAATAAGTCCATCCGTGACATTTCCTGGCTACTAAATATTCCACCGTCAACTGTTAGTGGTATTATAACAAAGTGGAAGCAACTGGCAACAACAGCAACTCAACCACCAAGTGGTAGGCCACGTAACATGACAGACCGGGGTCGCGCATGCTGAAGCGCACAGTGCGCAGAAGTCGCCAACTGTCTGCACAATCAATAGCTAAAGACCTCCAAACTTAGTGTAGCCTTCAGATTAGCAACAACAACAGTGCATAGAGAGCTTCATGGAATGGGTTTCCATGGCCAAACAGCTGCATCCAAGCCTTACATCACCAAGTGCAATGCACAGCGTCGTATGCCGTGGTGAAAAGCACGCCGCCACTGGACTCTAGAGCAGTGGAGATGTGTTCTCTTGAGTGACCAATCATGCTTCTCTGTCTGGCAATCCAATGGACTTGTCTGAGTTTGGCGGTTGCCAGGAGAACGGTACTTGCCTGACTGCATTGTGCCAAGTGTAGCGTTTGGTGGAGGGAGGGATTATGGAGTGGGTTTGTTTTTCAGGGATTGGGTTTGGCCCCCTAGTTCCAGTGAAGGGAACTCTTAAGGCGTCAGCATACCAAGCAGGGGCAGACTGACAACTCATGGGGCCCCCGGGCAATAGGGGATCATGGGGCCCCTGTGTCCTTGCCCAAAGTCAAAAAAGCCTATGAAAAAATACCAGGGGTATCACAAGGGGCCCCCTACTGACCCCAGGCCCTCGGGCAGTGCCCGAGTTTCCAAATGGTCAGTCCGCCCCTGATACCAAGACATTTTGGACAATTTCATGCTCCCAACTTTGTGGGAACAGTTTGGGGATGGCCCCTTCCTGTTCCAACATGACTGCGCACCAGTGCACAAAGCAAGGTCCATAGAGACATGGATGAGTGAGTTTGGGGTGGAAGAACTTGACTGGCCTGCACAGAGTCCTGACCTCATACCAATAGAACACCTTTGGGATGAATTAGAGCGGAGACTGTGAGCCAGGCCTTCTCGTCTGACATCAGTGCCTGACCTCACAAATGTGCTTCTGGAAGAATGGTCCAACCTTCCCATAGACACCCTCCTAAACCTTGTGGACGGCCTTCCCAGAAGAGTTGAAGCTGTTATAGCTGCAAAGGGCGGGGCCAACTCAATATTGAACCCTACGGACTAAAACTGGGGGCCATTAAAATTCATGTGTGTGTAAAGGCAGGCGGGTCAATACTTTTGTCAATAAAGTGTATTATGACCACTAGATAGAACCTACAGTCCTGGGAAAAAAACATATTAGACAAAATACAGTGAAAATTTATGACAGCTGAGTGATTGCTTATGACATTTGTCCAAGAACTTTTTATAAATAGACCCCTTTGTGTTATTTCACATGGCATATTACCATTGCTCATTTGCTTGGTCTTACGTACAGAAGGCCTTTAGAGAGCATCCTGTTTTCCTAGCTCGGCAGAGGAAGACGGCGTATTCTAATTATTGACACGTCTAGTCATATATTCAGTATGCTTACCTATTCTGAGATGAACCAAATATGATCTCTACTGACCACACACTATAAATGCGTACAAAAAATGAAAGTCTGAATATATTCAAACCACACACATGGGGAAATAATAAGTCCAGACACATGGAAATGGAGGTATTACATGGACATGATTAGTAGGGGAGCCGGAGTAATGAGTGCCTTATTGCTTTGCTAGAGCAACCCCCTGTGGTAACAACATGTAACACACAACTCAACCGACAGAATGGGAAGGTAAATCAATTCCCTGCTAAATAGCTCATTTTGTAGGATTTTGGATTCAGCAGTCCTGGCCAATGGTGTCGTGATTTATCATGGTATTATTCCATCATTTTATTTTTTACTAGTGTCATTCCAAAATGGAATGAGATACAAGAATGAATGTATGGGATACCAGTATATATATACAAATCCAAAGCAAAAGAATGAAAAAATAAACTCCCATGAGCAGGACCCCGCTATATAGTAAAATTCCTGTATAAAAATCATAATAAAAAAGAAAGTTATAAAAAATATAAAACATAATCCATGTTATTTTTAATATTATTATTATTATTAGACGTGCACATTGGAAATGTTCATAGTTACATAGTTAGTCTGGCTGAAAAAAAAGAGACAAAAGTCCATCCAGTTCAACCATAGGAAAAAAAAAAAGTTATAATCCTATACCCACAGTTGATCCAGAGGAAGGCAAAAAAACCCCCAGCAAAGCATGATCCAATTTGCACCTGCTGGGAAAAAAATTCCTTCCTGATCCCCCGAGAAGCAATCGGATATTCCCTGGATCAACTTTACCTCACTGTGAAGAAACCTTTCCATGTGAATACCTCTACACCGAGTTCACATGGTGATCATATCCCCCTTATGTATTATACATGGAGATCATATCCCCCCTTATGTATTATACATGGTGATCATATCCCCCTTATGTATTATACATGGAGATCATATCCCCCCTTATGTATTATACATGGAGATCATATCCCCCCTTATGTATTATACATGGTGATCATATCCCCCCTTATGTATTATACATGGTGATCATATCCCCCCTTATGTATTATACATGGTGATCATATCCCCCTTATGTATTATACATGGAGATCATATCCCCCCTTATGTATTATACATGGAGATCATATCCCCCCCTTATGTATTATACATGGTGATCATATCCCCCCTTATGTATTATACATGGAGATCATATCCCCCTTATGTATTGTACATGGAGATCATATCCCCCTTATGTATTACACATGGAGATCATATCCCCCTTATGTATTATACATGGAGATCATATCCCCCCTTATGTATTATACATGGAGATCATATCGCCCCTTATGTATTATACATGGTGATCATATCCCCCCCTTATGTATTATACATGGTGATCATATCCCCTTATGTATTATACATGGAGATCATATCCCCCTTATGTATTATACATGGAGATCATATCCCCCTTATGTATTATACATGGAGATCATATCTCCCCTTATGTATTATACATGGAGATCATATCCCCCCTTATGTATTATACATGGAGATCATATCGCCCCTTATGTATTATACATGGAGATCATATCCCCCCTTATGTATTATACATGGTGATCATATCCCCCCTTATGTATTATACATGGAGATCATATCCCCCCTTATGTATTATACATGGTGATCATATCCCCCCTTATGTATTATACAGGGAGATCATATCCCCCCTTATGTATTATACATGGAGATCATATCCCCCCTTATGTATTATACATGGAGATCATATCCCCCCTTATGTATTATACATGGTGATCATATCCCCCCTTATGTATTATACATGGAGATCATATCCCCCCCTTATGTATTATACATGGTGATCATATCCCCTCCTTATGTATTATACATGGAGATCATATCCCCCGTTATGTATTATACATGGAGATCATATCCCCCCTTATGTATTATTTATACATGGAGATCATATCCCCCGTTATGTATTATACATGGAGATCATATCCCCCCTTGGATCTGATCTCCATGTAGATATATGAATTATGTCCATTCAGGTTAAAGTGACAGGTTCTTCTGAAAAAAAAACAACCCTCCACCAACTGATACCTGCCTTCCCCATCCTTTCCTGCTGCTCCATTCCTCCATTGAAGCTGGAAGTCCAAACACCGAGTAAGTCCCGTGTCAGATGGTTTTGAAGTTGAAGGATGAGATGTTGCCAGTACTGTGGTGCAATTAATATACTGTACATTTGTATTAGTGTAAAGTCACATGTGTCGTCCTCAAGGCAACATATTCGAGGTCTTTCTGGAAAAAGTACGGCCATTGTTAATATAACAAGAACGGCTTGCGTAACATTGATATGACCTGACAGTCAAGGAATGGACTGGAATGCGCAAGTGTGAGCAATGAAGACTTCACTGTACTAGTCAGCGGGGGTGCTAAACACTGTTGAATGAGCAGCATGTGTACTGTGTGGCCCTCATTATGGGCAACACAGTGGCCAAATGGTTAGCACTTCCACCTGGCTAATACTAGGGTCATTGGTTCAAATCCCAACCACAGCACCACCTGCCTAGAGTTTGCATGTTCTCCCTGTGCCTGCGTGGTACTCCAGTTTCCTCCCACACTCCAAAGACATGCTGGTAGGTTAATTGGATCCTGTCTAAATTGTCCCTAGTATGTGTATGTATGAATATAAGTTATGGACCTTAGATTGTACACCCCTTGAGGGTTAGGGACTGATGTGAATGTACACTATATATGTAAAGTGCTGCGTAAATTGATGGCGCTTTATTATTATACAGTATTTATATAGCGCCAACAGTTTGCTCAGCGCTATACATTACAATGGGAGACAATACACGAGACAGTACAATAACAATACAATACACGAGGGGTTTGAGGGCCCTGCTCCTTGGAGCTTACAATCTAGGAGGGAGGGGATAGTGGTACAGGAGGAATAGCTGTGGGGGATGGAGTGGTAGGAAGAGTGGAGGAGACCGGCAATTAGCTGAGGGCGGGGTAGGCTTCCCTAAAGAGGTGGGTTTTCAGGGTGCGCCTAAAGGAGAGGAGAGTAGTTGATAGTCTGATGGATTGGGATAGGGAGTTCCAGAGGATGGGGGAAGCCCTGGAGAAGTCCTGGAGATGGGATTATACAGGATTTATATAGAGCCAACAGTTTGCTCAGCGCTTTACAATATAACGGGAGACAATAGAGCAACAATACAGTTCAATACAAGAGGGATAGGAGGGCCCTGCTCCTCATATATAAGTGCCTGTAATAAATAAATTGTCACAGACAGGGCTGCTGTTAGAAACCACAGGGCCCCATACAGCCAACCTGACAGAGCCCCTCCCCACCCCCCTCAAAAAAAAGTTTACTAGGCTTCAGATATGAATGAACACAGTGAGTGATCAGTACCTGAAACAAATAAGTAAAAATAAATAAAATATTCAAAATGATTTTAGAGAGAAAAGCAACAAGTCTGCATCAAACTTTGCGTTAAGCTTGAACATTCCTCCATGGAAACTAGCTGGATGATGATGCAGTGCAAATAAAACTGTGGCACCACAGCAAACGTCTTTGTTATTTCTGCACATGCCATTCCCGATGCCTTGCCAGTGTATGCCTTTCTTTGTATAGTGCCTTTGCAATAAAACTCTTATGAAACTAAAAATAGTGTGGCACCGACACTTTAAAGATGGTTGAGAATCTGTTGAAATCTGTTGAAAGTGGTAGCCGTGATCTCCCACTGCACATCGACAACCGGGGCTGTCCACTTGGCACCACCACAATTCATAGCATGCCTTGTATTTTTTTGCTAAAAACAAGGAGTT